GGGCCTGGGTGCGTGAATATGAGTTTGCGTCATGAAGATGAGTTTGCGTGCAAGGCTCCATCCAGCGGCTTCACCCCGTGTATCAAGAGTCTGATCGATCGAGTATAACTGTGCTATAGTTCTATCATTATCTGAGTTATCTCAGTTCTTCTTCGTTTATTTATCTTCGTTCGGTTCGGTTAGAAGATCGGTTCTATCGACCTTCGGCTTAACTGTCTTGACTTACCTCCGTCTTATATTTGTGGTATCGATCGACAGTAACTAAATACCCTACAACTGGCTAGGGCCACTACCGTATCACTAAGTTAGCTGGTATACTACAAGAGCTGGAGTCGAGTTGGCTTATCTAGTTATAGCAGTGAGATATCGATTTTGGTACAATCATCCGAGAAGAAGTGACTACTAACGTCATGGATGCCAATGATCCGTTGTTAATGAGAAGCACCGAGGCGGGGAACCGCCCGGTGGAAGAATCTGGTTCGCCGCCGGCGTGGGCTTGGGAGCTCCGTGGGCAAATCGAGCACTTGGCGGGCATGTTCAACGAGTTGAGCTCGAAGTTAAACTCCTCACCTTCGATAGGGCGGTCAACGACCGACGTTCAAGGTGAGGATACGGTCGACACCGCTGTCAGCGACGATCCCAGTGTCGAGGAGCACCGAACCTCCTTACTAGACTTCGTCGGGGTGCAAGGGGTACCGACGAGGGGAGGTCAATGTCGTCGAGGGGTTGACATAACGAAGGTGTCCAAGAGGGCACGGAATACCAGAGCTGTCACTGGAGGGCCCTTCATCGGGGTTGCCGATGCCAGAGGCTTCATCTGTTTCAAGAGGCAGGTGAAGAGTTTGCCTGAGATCCAATTGAGTGGTCGGTATGGACCTTCAGAAGAAGATGAATGGGCATTCGAGTATTTCTACGTGAACCACAACGTCAGCGAACCCCTGAGACAGTTAATTAATGATACTTGTGCGAGGAACAAGGACCTCACGTTCAAGGCGAGAGTGCTGACTATGTGGAGTGTCCTCGAGAGCTACTCGGACGGCACTGACGAGATGTCATTGGTGAAGCGATGGGAAGCCTTGGGTTGCGGCCCTGAGGGAGCGAAGGGGTTGGAGACCTTCGTGTCCAAATTGGAAGGCCTTCGAGATCAGCTGTCCGAAGTTCGGGGAGCTCCTGTCTCGGATCTGGAGGCGAGAGCTCGACTGTATATGGGACTACCCCGGGACGGGCAACTACATGTAGATCGCT